TTCTTTAAAAAGGCACAATTATCTGCCAGTATAGTGAGATTATTTTACTTTTACTTTTTACTTTTAAAAACGTCTAAAAAATAAGGTAAACAATCTTAAATTTAGCTTATAACAACCTTAACAGGAGAAATATTAGATTAACTATATTTAAGATCATTTTACTTGACAAGACATCATTTTTTGCAGTGTATTTTTTTGATTGTCAGCTGGATTTTTTTGTCTGCTAATGCAGTTTAAGATTGACACCAACTCCAGAATGTCCGGTCTGATTGTGAGACATGTGCTTGTATACATTTTTTCCGACTGGACATACAGGTTCCACATAGCACCTGCTAAAAGTATGATTTTTTTTCCCACATCTCTAGCAGCCACATGGAATACCTTAACAACTGTTCAGCAGCACAGTAACAGCCACATAACAATCACCTAGCAATACACAAGCAACAACATAACAACCACTGAACAACCGTCTAAAATACCATAGCAACCATCTGCCAACACCTTAGCAATACGGGTGAACTGCTTAAGCTGTGCCGTCACTGCATCTTCTTCTTTTCTAGTGCACTTCAAGCTGTAAACCAAAGAGCTGAGATGGTTTAGAAACTTCAAAGTTCAATATTAAAACTATTAAACTCAAACTGTGCACAGTTCACTGAAGTTAAAGGGGAAAGTTAAGGGCAAAGTTCATTTAAGATGTTTTATCAGTGACCACAGAGCATTAATCTGAACCCCATATTGTCGCTGCCATAAATAAAAACTTGTTCCTCCTCTTTTTAGTTTTATTTTTGTTTAAAAAATACATTTGAACTAATTTTAAAGATGCTTAAATTCACTACGCTGCAAAAAACAGCATCTTAGCAAGTGAAATGATCTCAAATCTAGTCAAGATACCTGATATTTATCATTTTGAGACTGTTATAAGTTTATTAAAAGACTATTTGACTTGTTTCTAGAAACTTTTACTTGTTTTTAGTGATTTTATTAAGTAAAATCATCTCACTGTATTGGCAGATACATTTATTTAAGAAAAATTCTTGAAACAAGCCAAATTATAGTAATGCTGACAGATTTCAAAGTTACTGTTTCATTGATTTTCAGCTTTTCTTACAGCAGCAACTATATTACACAGTAAACAATCACACTGTAGACAGTGTTTGTGTTAGTTTAGGACATGATCAAACGCCGTTTCACCCAAACTGTGACACCTAAACCCCCACCAGCTGTTCCTCCCAACTCCAGGCTGCTCCCTCCCCCCCTTCTCTCAGCCATAAAACTCCCACAATTCCTAGCAGCCCAGGCTGTAAACCACACCAGAGCCGTTAATTAATTAATGGCCCTTCACCAGGGGGCCGGCCTTGGCTCAGGAACACTGCGGAAGAGAAGGAATGTGGTGTTTGGAAGAGTGGAGGAGTAAAAAGAAGAGAGGGTAGAAAAGAGAAGAAGAAAAGAGAAAAGGAGAGAAGAGGAGTAAAGACGAGGAGAGACAGGAGAGGAGAAGAGAAGGAATGTAGAAGGGCTTGGATGAGTGGAGGAGAGAAGAGAACAGAAAGGTAGGGAAGAGAGGAGTGTGGAACGGGAAAAGAAGAGAAGAAAAGCGAACAGAAGAGAAGTGGAGAATAAAAGAGGAGACGAAAAGAGAGGAAAAAGGAGAGGAAAAGTAAAAAATAAAGAAGACTAGAATGAAAAAGAGAAGAAAAGAGTAGAGAAGAAAACAGAAGGGAAGAGAAAAGGAGAGGAGAGAGGAGTGGAGAATAGAGGAGTAAACTGAGGAGGGGGGTTTGGCAGCTTCGGCCCATCCAGCCATCAATCAGCCCCCCATCGCAGTGGTCCTGCCCAGCCGAGAGAGGGAGGGGCGAGAGAGCACACAGGGACAGAGAGAGAGAGAGAGAGATGATGATGGCGTCCGAGCGGCCTGCCCATCCTCCCCCAGCCCTGGTGCCGCTGCTGGTCAGCGCCGGGGCGGTTCTGGTGTCTCAGTATTTCTTCAACGCAGCGGCGCAGGTTCCTGACCCCGCGGTAAGATAACGCTCATTCTGACTGTACCTGCACACCGTTAAACAGCACCCCAACACCTCACCACCCACCAACACTCACCGCGTTTATCACGACTGTGCGACTGTGAAAGGCAGCGGCGTTACGGCAGGAATTTAGAGGGTGCAGGACTGACGGAGGCTGAAGTCACAACATGATCTCTAACTGCATCATAGAAAACATGATACAGACACACATTCAGCCACAGCAGCACTACAGGCAGTAGAACATCACCCAAACAATGCAGACCTGCTTCACTGAGACGCTGTGACAGCAGAACCTCTACACCTCTCAGAGCGCCGTGCAGTTAATATCACCTCACTGAACCCACGGCATGTGTTTACAACTGGAAATGCCTTTGTGTACTGTTCTAGAATGGTTACCGTGTTCTAGAATCATTTGGTGTTCTGGGATGGTCTATGGCTTCTGCAATGGGTTAAGGTGTTGGAGAATTGTTGGTAATTAGTTTAGAGCATTCTCAAATTACTTGTTGCACTCTGGAATGTTTTATGGTGTTCTAGAATGGTTTAGAAAGTTGTAGAATTACTGAAAGCTCCAGAATGGCTACAGTGTTCTACAATCATTTAGAGCATTCTGGAATTACTGGAAGCTCTCTCGAATGGTTACCCTGTTCTGGAATCATTTGGAGCATTCTGGAATTACTGAAAGCTCTCTAGAATGGTTACCCTGTTCTGGATTCATTTGGAGCATTCTGGAATTACTGAAAGCTCTCTAGAACGGTTACCCTGTTCTGGAATCATTTGGAGCATTCTGGAATTACTGGAAGCTCTCTAGAAGGTTACACTGTTCTGGAATCATTTACAGCATTCTGGAAATACTGAAAGCTCTCTCGAATGGTTAGTGTTCTAAAATGAGTAAGTTGTCCTGGAATGATTTATTGCTGTAAACCATTGTTGTCGATAGTTTAGAGCATTCTTGAATTAATTGGTGCATGATTGGTGGTTTATTGCTTTCTACACTGGCTTTGTGTGTTGCAGAATACTGTCAAGTGCTCTAGAATAGATAGTTTGGAGCATTCTGGCATGGTTTAGAGATTTCAGAAGATTCTAGAGTAGAGAATAGTCTAGACCATTCCAGAACAGTTTAGAGCATTCTTGAGTGACTCAGTTCATTCTAGAAGAGTTTATGGCATTCTAGCATGGTTTAGAGTTCCAAAATGGCTAAGGTGTTCTAGAATAGATAGAGCGGGGGTTATTGTGAGAAAGCACGAAGGCCCACAGGAGAACAAAACTCAACTTGTTTGCTTAAAAATATCATTTTTAGGAAATTTTCAGCAGAGCTGTGTTTGGGTACCAACCCTGCAACACATGACACATCAGTAAACATGAAAGACAGATTAGGCTAAAACATGCCAGAAATTAGCCAGAATGGTGACAAATAAAGTGGAATGTCAGGGGGAGTGTGTTTTGTTTCTAGAGCCAAGGAGCAAAAAACTGATAAAGTTGCCTCTGTGTGCCATTTTTGTAGGACTTTACTGTGACAAACAAAAACACTTAGCATTTATTTTTTATTGTTGAGTCAAATACTTTTTCACTGATTTTTAGGACAAAGTACCATCAAAGGTCCACTATGGACCACTGGGCCCCTTCAGTATCGGCCTGAGGACCACCAGTGGCCCAGTGGTTGAGAAACGCTGGTTTAGAGCATTCTATTCTGGTTTGTTTTCTCGAAGGCTTTAGAGCAGATGTCTTAAAATCTGGATCTTGATTACAAAAATCTAGAACAGGTAACTGATTTAAAAGTCCAGATTTTAAGACCTTTGCTTTACTACCTTCTAGAATTGTCTGTAGAATTCTGTTTGTAGAATTGAGTGTTGTAGATCAATTGTGAAGTTCTAGGAATCTCTGGATGTTCCACAATAACACTGAGTGAAATCTTCGTTATTGTGATGAGATTCTCATATGAGCACATCATTAAGGGCTGTGATGACCAAATGGTTTAAATTAGTGCAGACGCACAGCAGCAGAGTGATCTAATTAGACGCTTCCCTGCACTGAGCTGCTCAGTTAGAAGCTCAAAACTACTCTATCCTGAACTATGAGCCTATGAAACACTTCAAATAGTGAAGACTATTGTCATGTGTGTAAAACCTGTGAAGTAAAAATGGCTACTGTAATACCAAACCTGCACCACCATAAGGAGCGTTATAAGGAATAGATTTTATGTACATGTCGTGTATTTATTAAAAATAAATGTACCTCACTTTTCTAGTGACTGGACTTCTGTAAGGTAATATCATCTCAAAACATTTTGTCCTGTATGAAAAGGACAAACTGACTGAATCACACCTGAACACAAGAATCATATCTTCATAAACGCTCTCCTGTTAAGGGGTTTTGTTTGGCCATTGTGAAATTTTAAATTATGGCTTCTTCTTGTCACTCTTTGCTTTCTGCTACATACAACTTCTAGTATACTATGGTCTGGGTTTTACACTGAAGTAGCTACTACACTAGAGAGGTTTTTGACTCGAGACACAGCGTTGGTGATATATAACAAAATACAAAATATTTCTCCATATAAGGCCACGTTTATATGGTGATAGATTAGTGAAAACTTAGAAACCTGAATGCAAAAATCTGAATTTGAATGTTGTGATTTTGAATCTGTATCGTCTGAAATTGAATTCTGAACTGAAACTGAATTATAAGGTGACTAAGAGAGAGATTTAACATCTGAACCTGAATTTTACGGTTGATAATGTTCAACTGAATGTCTGAAAATCAGCTCCCAAAAACATTCAGATTCACTTTGAAAATAACATCTGTTTGTCTTGCAGGCAAAAGCAGTCAAACACTGAACACTTTCCCCATTGCCACCTCTAGCTTGTACCTACACTCGCTGGCAGAAACATCTACCATACAGGTCCACTTGGAATTACTGACTGTAGCCCATCTGTTGCTGCACTTTATCAACCCCAGTCCCATCCATCAGTGGGAAGAGACCACCACTGAGCAGATATAAGGTGGGCGATGTTCCACTCTCAGCACAGCAGTGATGCTGTAATAGTCGTGTATGAGTGTATAAGGCAGATTAGCACTGCTGGGGTTGACAGGCCAGTAGAAACCTGAATAAAATATATTTGTGGTGTTTTACACTCAGGTCTGGTGTTAAAACTTTACTTTACAGGACATTCTGCATCATTTCTGTTATAAAGCATGCATTGTTACACCTTTTGTCTGCTAGACACCCGGATGTTATTTTGAAAGTAAATTTGAAAATGTGAATTAATAGAAAAATAGATATGTTGAATATTGTAAATGATCAACCATTAAATTCAGTTTCAGATTTGATATCACTTTTATACACATTAAAATTCAGTTTCAGATTTGATATCGCTTTTATAGACATTAAAATTCAGTTTCAAATTTGAAATTGCTTTTATACACATTAAAATTCAGTTTCAGTTCAGAATTCAATTTCAGATGATACAGAAAATTTCATTCAAATTCAGATTTCTGTATCAAATTCAAATTTTGAATGATATGAATCTAACGCGATACCTTTACTATTGCTAGACATTTGACTTGTGCAAACCCCACCTTCTATAGTTACTGTTACTATGTCCTTCAAACTTTCAGCTTAAGCCACCAGGCAGTATCTGTAGTGCAGGATTCGATGCTGAGGAGTTGGTCTTTTAACAAATCTCAATGGAATAAAATTAATTATGGCATGTGTATGAGTGCAATAATATTTATCTTCACCTGGAATGTTTTAGTCGCAAATGTGAGCACTAGTTTATTAAGCAAACCTTCCAGTTAGCTAGCTTTTCTTAACTTAGCTGCTGACTGATGGAAACACTTTCCTGTAACAATATTTTTAGCCATCATATTAAAAACATTTTTCACAAATACAGTCGCTCAGATAAAGTTTAGCCTATCTTAGTTTCTGTTCATAGTTTTGGGATTGAGCTGCGAGATTCAAAAACTTTTCCAGCTTCAGGAATGAAATAAAAGCAGCTCTGCCCTCCAGATGATCAGGATAGAGTAAGTCAGGAATTATACACTCCTCACAAACACTTTTCACCATTTCTGACTCCAATGACTCTGACGGATTTACTGCCACCGCCGTTCTCACTGCAGGACTGTTCTGAGGAGTTTTTGTCTCTGGCCTTTGTCCTTCATTTGATGGACAAACACTTACAGAATGTTGTGATTGGCTGAGACGGTCAATTCATTGACCCGAAAGATCGAAAAGCTTCCAGTCGTTGCCTTTACTGTTAGACATGGAAATGACTGGAATAAAAGCAACTAAATGATGTAAATACCCAAACAAAAACAGCATGTTAACAGGTCAAATTTAAACAGTTTAATAAATGTAAAGGTAATACCGACTGTTTACATGCAGTTATTCTAAATAGCATGTTTAACTGGACTGGATGCATTTTTATAGCAGATGAAGAAAACTAAAAAAGACCCCACAAAAGTTTTTCTTAAATTTTTTATATTCTAATTTACTTGTGTGAGTGTTTTTGTGTGCCAAAAATAGCCAAAATTCACTCAAATCCATGGACTGTATAAACTGGTCAATGCTCCATTTCAAAACTTTAATAATGTTTCCATTGTATATCAAACTCTTTTATTTAAAAGGGCAAATAAAGGTGTTTTTTCATAATGTGTGTATGTACATATTTCCAAGAACAGGCAAGTCTTGATAATCATATTGTGTAAATGTGATTATAAATAGAGAAAATATGTAGGCAGTGATTTATGGAGGAGAGTGCAGACTGCACCACAGCAGTGATGTAAAGAGCCTTTCACTGGCTGGCATTTTATCTTCCAACTGAATTTATTTGCCATATTAGTTCAAAGGTACACAGTAGATGAAATGGGGTTATTCTGAAGCCTGAAGCGGCTGCTTTCTAAAAAACACATCTCTGTGCACATTCTAGTGGCTGGAATGACGGATTTAGTTAATTGCATTAGATATTAATCTGAAACTGGGGTTTTTGAACAGTGTACAGG